ATTGCAGTACCTATTTGGAATGTGTAAACATACTACAGAGAACAACATGAAAATAAGGATCAAATCAATCAAACACCAATTAGGTGGAATAAATTCTGGCACGGGATTCAATACATTTCTCAATTCATCCATCCATAACCCTGGACCTATGAACGAATTAAATAGAAAAATTTTAAATATTAATTCAATGAGGTAACAAAAACCCATATATAACAATAGACTTTATGAATCACCTTTAATTGCAGAGATTATCATTAATATACAGGCACCCAGGACGCCTTCGGTAGGACCATTAAAGTATCCAAGATATAACACCCCAGTGTGATATTCTTCCCAGGTGGACATATAAAATGGTACGATAATTACGAGAAGAAAGGCAGCAGCATAATAAGTATGTCCTAAACCTAAGGCACCGGCAAGAACTACCGCCCCGAAAGAGCAACTTAATGCGTCACAGCCATGATCAAATAGTTCGCCGAGAGGTGAAGAAGTCCCGGTACGTCGAGCTTGCTTGCCATCGACATTGTCAAATGTCGAATATAGCCACAAACCTAGTGGAAAACTGTATATATGAGAAAACAATAAAATAAATTTAAAATTTAAAATTAAAATAAATTAAAATAAATACAAGGATATCAATGAAATTTGAATAATAATTACGTCCAGTAAAGCCATTGTGGACCAGGTCCTACTAAATCATTAATCCAATAGATAACGGTTAAGACGTTAATAAACACAAATCCTAATCCACATAAAGTTATTAAATTAGGACTAACAGACAATAATAGATCAATTGCCGGTTAGCACTTCATGATAAAATGAAAGTTTAAAATATGTGAAAAAGTCGAAGGCAACTCACGCCATCCATCTTGGAAATAAATCGATAGCCCAGTTCCAATAGTACTTAAGAATATAATTTGCTATGGGCGATTTATCTATAGCACCGTACTTATATTGCTTCAAGTTTTGAAGATCAGCTTCTTCAATATAGTCTGCTTGCATAAGCCTTATAAGGACGTCCATTGTTTTACTACTAGTATATAAAAATGAATGTTTAAATTCTTCAACGTAAAATTATTTAGGCTTTTAAAATAATTTATTAACGTTTAATCTGTGTAAGATCAATACTTTATATATTATATCTATATAAAATAAATAAACACCGAATAAACAATACAAACTACCGCTACCGCCATTTGTCTGAATTTATAGAGCGAGATCATTTAGTGTAACCATTCATACCAATGTCATATGAAAGATCTGCTGGACCCCAACACTAATCCAAATTTGAACTACATTACATTCTTTTTTTTGATATGAACTGGGGCAAAAATACAAAAAATAATCTATAAAAAGTTGTGTTACACAAGTTTTAAATATACACTTAAAATTTTCTTGACGCCTAAAAACGGAGATAGTCAGAATAGTTTTGTAACTTTTTGTGAGAATATAAAGTATTCACTTATCATTAAGTATGGAGAAACGCACGGATTGTATTATAGCTTGTTCCCCGCTCATAATGAATAAATGCACACTTTGCTTTTTTTTTTTTTTTTTTTTTTTTTTTTGCCTTTTTCTAATGAACTGACTGGTCATCTTTAATCAATCACTCTTTCAAACCATAAAATGATGCAGTAGAATCGTCCCAATAATATTTCGGCTTAAGCCGTTACTAGCTAAAGCTTATGTCGTAACAGTGTCATAACTAGTTACGGCAATCATTGGACGATTCTACTGCATCACTAATGAAAATACTCAAGTCCTTTAAACTGTATGGAGTAATTTTCTTGTGAAGCATTGGGGCCAAATCTATATCAGGTGCTATCATAAAAGTTGATTTCGATAGATTGGCAAATTGTTGTTATTAACAAGTTTTTTTAAAAAAAGAAGTTACGGTTCAACAAAATATTAGAACGTATTTTTTAAAAAAAAAATTATTAAATGATTATGACAATATAACAAAAAGAAGTTACGGTTCAACAAATATTAATATAACGACCCTGACAAAGGATATGAACTTCTTGATGAAAATTATTCTGAAAATTTATTAGAAACATTTACATCTTCGACGAAAAATCAATTAGAAATGTAAATGAATATATAGTATTAACGGATGAATATAAAAAAAGAAAATAATATAGATTGGTCAGAAATAAATTCATTATGAATATTGACAACAGATGAAACTAAAAATTTTGATTATGAAATAAATAAAAAAACTATTAATTATAATGATAATAATCAATGTATAATTGTAAACAATGTAGATAGAAAGCTATAATATTGTTCAAATCAAATAGCTTGTTCTTTATAACAACTTATAGGTATATAGGAATTGGACTTTGAATTAGTTAATAAAATAATTAAAACTAATTAGCTTGATGCTTCTAATTTATTATATATATGTTTAGATTATTTTAATTGACTAAAATAAATTTTATATTGTTATCAAATACATTTCTAACGCTAATATATTTCATTTTTTATTTTATTTTATTTTATTCTATATAGTTAGTTTATAGTATTATTAAAATTAGATTAGTTTTATAATTATATTAAGTTATAGTTTTAGAAATTAGATTAATAATTGTTACGAATTATAGTAAAATCAGATTATGATGAAATTTGAATCTATTTTAATATAAAAATTTAAAATTTTTTAAAATATATTTTTTTGGTTTTTTTTTTAGAGTTAGATTAAAGTTTAAAGTTAAAATTATATAGAAAAAAGTATAAATAGATTTTAGTAAAGTTTATATTTTCAAAAGAAGATTCCAAATTTTATTATAAATCGTAATAATAATTGTAGCGGCTGATGCTGAATTTTGGGAGTCGTAATTTGGATCTATTAAACCTGCTAAAATCCATATATACTCTTTTATTAATAACTCTAACTCTAAACCCTAACCTAACTTTAAAAAAAAATTCTACACAAAAGGCTCTAAAAATTTTTAAAATTTCATAATAAAATAGATCCAAAATTCAGTATCAGCCAAATTTAGCATCAGCTGTGACAATAATTATAAAATAATTAGTAATTATAAGATATTAGTTATAATAAAATATTTTTTTATCAAAGTTAATATTACTTCTATATACTGTATAGTAGTATTGTTATAAAATAAGTTTTAACATATTTCTTTTTTTTTTAATAAAAATAAATCAGTTAACGTTAACGATTTGGTCATTATACGTATATAATTTTTCATATTCATTACAATATTAACAAAAATAAATTCCGTATGTAAAATTTACAAGGCTTATCATGCATAACAGAACTTATTTGAGACAGGGCACAAGTAGATATTTTTAGCTCTTCACTTTATGTAATATCCATTCGTATAAGTCACGTGTATTTTGGTAGATAATAACTACTACGTATCGAATCCGCAAATACTGTTTTTAAATTTGGATACATTAACCTGATTATAGAATCTAACGCAGTAAAGTAAAATATGATAAACCTGTGCTAAAAATTTTTCTCGTTTATCTGCTCACAAGATATATTGTTAAAAATTTTTCTCGTTTATCTGCTCCACAAGATACACTGTGCTAGAAAAGGTATTTGAGTTTCTATTATAGCGTTCAAGTGACGAACGGTGAACAGTCAGTTATTAGGCATAGCATATGATCTACAAGCAGATTTTAACGATAAACTCCATAAAACTAGCTGTGCGTTTTCAATCTTAAAACAAAAAAAAGGCTAAACATGTTTTTTTACACCTCCCTAAAAAACTGTCAACTACATAAAAAAATGTCAACAGATTTTGTCAACGACCCTTCTGAAATGAAATTTAGAAGCTCTTTCTCGTACAAAAATGACAACATAAGTGTTGTCGAATTTGGCAACAATGTTAACATGAGAATCGAAAGAATAAGTCCTAACATCGCAAAAATTTATTTTGTGGACGATTGAGGAAATAGTATTCAAATACCGAATGGTGTCGCGCTTAGAGATACTCTTAATAACTTTAATGAAACACCTCAAGTAGTTAATGGGTTTGGAACTTACTTTGTATCTTGGATTTCCAACTATGTGTTACTGTTGAATAGTATTGCGGTGTTTGCATTAAAAAATCAAAAACAACAATCAATGGAAGGAGTAGATGGATTTAGATACTCTATGATTGAGCAATAGTCCTTTAGTAGAATCTCATGTAGTCTTGTAAGAAAATTTAAATAGATTATAGTGTCATATTAACAAAAAGATTACATACTGTGTTTTTACCTTTTATTGTATAATCAATAAAGTAGATATTGAGTCAATTTAAAGCCGAGTTTGTCTATCATAGATGCTAATTTTAATCTGTATTAACTAGAAGCAAATTAACTCTTTATTTTGATTTATTGGTTATTGAAGAGAGATTGGTAGGAGCCTTGATTTTTATTACTAATTCTTTTATTTGTTTTTATGATCAGGTTACTTTACATGATTGAAATTGATCCTTAACAGAAAGGTGTAGTTATTTCAA